CGTCACACCTGCCACCAGGCTGGACCCAGCGACCTCGCAGTGCCCCGGCGTCTCGTCGGTGCTGACGTGGCAGGCCAGGGACACCACGGCCACCGGCTTTTCGCCGCTGGGGATGCGGCCAGATGAGTCGGGGGGGAGCTCGCTGGGCAGGCAGGGGCGGCAGCAGATGGCGTGGGACAGGGGAACCGTACCGCTGCCGGCGATGGAGAAGGGGGTCACCCACTGGCCCTGCCGCTCCCAGGAGGACACGAACCAGCCCGCCTTGTCGCAGGACAGGCCGTTGGGCGCCCCCGCGGCGCGCTCGCACTCGCACAGCTTCAGCTGGAGCTCGCCGGACTCTGAGCATGGATTTATAGGGCGGTGTCGTGATCCGGCACACAGGCAGGAAGAGGTGGTCAGGGAGCATGGAAGCAGCGGCATTCCCCCGTACGTGTAGCATTTATTACCTGTGATGATGAATGCCGAGTCGTTGTAAGCAGCCTGGACGCTGGCGAGATGGGACGGAAGGGTGTAGGGCGACCCGACCACGAGCTGGGTTGCCAAAGCGGCCAAGACCGCCACCTTCACCCACACTATCCTCAATGCCTGCATAGAGGCTGTCAGGAGGAATGCGGAGTCGAAAGAAAGCGGCAAGCGGAGGTCTCAACCAGGAAGCATGGATTAGACTGGCAACGAGGATCTCTGCCCAGGTGCTCCGGCCTTTCAAACAGAGACGGGGACGTTTGGCAGACAATACAATAATCCCATCTCGATTGGAACCACTTCCTCAGTGAACAGGTCCAGAGTTGGCTTGACGGTGCATTGCTCACGATAGTGGCAATCCGAAATCCCTCTCGCGCTCGGAAACTCCGGCGTGGCGATATTTGCTAATCTGAAGGTGGGCCAAGCAGGAGTAGAGGAGAGGTCCGATACAACTGAAACATTACAGGTACAATCCTTCCTATATTGTGCTTCGCCGAGCGTCAGTGTGTGGAAGTCGGCGGTCTGGCCCCAGCCCTATGTCGGGACTCCGGGACCTGGTCACAGGAGCCGATGCATGCGGCCCCAGCGATGGAGCAGGGCCGTCCAATGCTGCGGCATCTCTCGCAGATGCCCTTTTGGGTCGCAGGGCCAAGCAGACCGCGCAAGTTCAGGAGGTGCGCGGCCCCACCAATGGCTTGGCAGGACGGTGGACCGCTGCAAGCTTGGGGCTTGTCACCGGTGGTGTTCATCCCAATGGTGCACCCTGCCATCGCTACTTGTCCAGGGATGCCAGTGGTTGTGCAGATGCTGCTCGGATCCGCATGCATGTGGTAGTCGCAAATAGGTTTTGCAGCCTCGCCCCATTGTCCTCACCCTTGGACATCCGTGCAGCTGCCTGGCCTGGGAGCAGGGGGTGCCGCGGCACCCCAACACATGCAGCACTACCAGGCGCCCAGTGCTGCTGCAGCAGCAGAAGCTGCCCTGCAGCTGCCAGGCATGCAGGGGCCCCGCAGCGAAGCCCTGGACGCCTTCTTTCCTCAGGGCCCCGCCCAGGCAGGTCTCCCCGACTTTGCAGAGTTTGAGAGCATATACAGTGGCGCTTCACACCCTGGGCAGGGTGGCCCACTGGCCCACATGACGCCCCAGACAGCTGTGGCTCCTTTCTTCAAGGTGTGTGTCGCACAGCTGAGATTTTCCCAGGGCCCTGCAGGCTTGTTGACCAGGAGCCCTTACTCGATGCTATGGATATCTAGCAGAGACTGAGGCTGTGCTTCATACAGCGTACCATAGTCTCGACGCTACTCGCTCTCCCCCAGGCCTTCATGGACAGCGGGAAGACTGCCATGCCGTTCCACCCCATGCACCTGCCAGCCGTGCCCTTGCCTGTTGCAGACCAGGTTTGTGCTGGCTGGGTGGGAGGTGATGAGGGTGCTGTACCTGCTGTGCATCCTGAAGGTCTGCTTGGAGTTGGCCTCATCATACAGCAGGATCCCCTGCCCAGCGGCTTGCGACGCCTGCTTGTCGACGAGTGTACACAATGACCCACGCACATGCCTTTAACCCCCTACCCCACCCCACCCCACCCATGCTGTGCTGCCCAGATACGGATTCGCGATCGCTCGCTTATTATGGCTCGCCAAATGTTCGCGGAGCAGGGCGGCCAGTTTGCCGATGCACAGGTCGGCGCCCTGCTTTCCTCCTTGAACATTGATCCCACCACCCTGCCCCCCTCCCTGGGTCAAGCCAGCTGGGACAACATCTACTCTGGTGCCGCTGGGCCTCAGGCGGGCTTGACAGACCATGCCGCCAACCAAGCCATGGTGAGGGCCTCGTTGACGATTGATTGGGGTTGTGCAACAATGCATGAAGGCAGGCGGGCACCCAGCTACACAGAGCATGGCGCAACTTTCCCCTGTGGTCATCAGTGGGCGCATTGAGGGGGTGCTCAAGAGGGGCTCCCTGCATGTGCTGTGCCAGCAACCCCTCGTGCTCTGTCTCTCCCAGCTTGCACATGGCCTCCTTCTCTACCCTGAGCTTGTGCACGGCGCTCAAATTCCTCATACTCACATGCCAAACACCCTTGGCCAGACGTGCACTGCATAACCACATCACTTTAGCGGACCCCGGACTATTGCCTTTCCCCCTCCTCACACGCAGATGCATGGGCAGCAGCCCGGTGCCTGGGTGGACGACTTTGCGCGGCTGCAGGTCGCGGACGGCACCCAGTCCGGCGGCTGGGCCGGCGAGTTCTCGGCGCGGCAGGGCGCCGCCCAGCCAGCTGCGGAGGCCTGGGCCGGCGAATTCGCGGGCGAGGTGCCGGCGTCCGCCTGGGTGGACGACTTCCAGAGCGCCGGGGTGGCGCAGCGGGAGGGCCGGTCCGAGGTGGAAGCTGTGGAGCAGTCGCGCAGGCTGGCCGACACGCTGGCAGGTGCCCTGGAGTTTGTTTTGGGGAGAAGGTCCCCGTATGGTGTGGATGGTATAGGAGCTTGATGGTCTATGTTCAACGGTTGGGGTGGGTCTCGCGGATATAGGCCTGGATGATGGGGGCGGGTCCGCCCTAGATTGGGGATGGCCCAGGGCGGCCTATCGTGTGGGAACAAACCAGAATGCCTGGCACACTTGAGTTCGGTTGGACTAGCACCCCATCCCCTCAAAGAGAACGACGATCGTGCACTTAACACCCCCCCCCCACCCTTCGCACCTTGCAGCCAACAAGGACCCCAAGTTCCAGAACAGCCAGTTCCTGAAATTCATCTCCAAGATGAGCCGGGGCGAGGTCATCCTGGAGGGCAACAAGGTGAGAGGTGGGAGTGTTTGGAAAGAGGGTGCCCAGCAGTGGCAGCCAATGTGCGAGAGGTGTCCCGAGCAGACGGCCGACGGAAAGATTGACGTCACGGACCACACTGCAGAAAGTGCAGTGCACCCCTCGTGCGTGGACTCCACAGTCACCATCTTTTGCATCCCCTGGTCCTGGGAGCTTGTGCAGATCCCTATGGTAGTTGTGAGATGTTTACATTCCCCCGCTCCCTCAACACGCACATACACAGGCCACGGAGGTCACCCCCGCCGCCTCCGAGTGGACGCGGGAGTTCACGGCCGATGCCGCGGCGCCCTCCGCCGCGCACGGGCCCTCCCCCTGGGGCGAGGAGTTCGCCTTTTTCCAGGCCCGGGCGGCGGGCACGGGGGGCGACTGGGCCGACGCCTTTGCCGAGGGCGTGGCGGGTGAGTGGGCGAGCGAGTTCGCCGGGCCCCAGACCGAGGACTGGCAGGCGGAGTACGACGCCGAGCTGGAGCGCCTGCACGGCGCCCAGGCGCCATCAGCTCATGGGGGTTACGTAATGGCCGAGAACAACCCCTTCCTGAGCGACACCGACTCCATGGCCAAGGGCTGGGACCTGTTCAAGCGGGTGCGCATTTGGGAGGGAGGGGAGGGAGTGTTGGCATCTCCGAAGGTAAGGGACAGTGGCCCAGCCTGGCTCCCGAGGGTGCGCGGCAGGAGGGCGGTGCTGACGCCCCTGCCCACCGAGGTTCCCCCCTTTGCCATCCAGTCCTCCCGCGCCCAGGGGGGCCTGCCTGCGCTTCATGCCACGTTGACCTGTCATTCCATCCACCCTGGCAGGGTGTGCTGACGGAGGCGGTGCTGGCGCTGGAGGCCGAGTGCCAGCGCTCGCCCAACAACGCCGAGGCCTGGCGCCTGCTGGGCAACGTCCAGGCCGAGAACGACGACGACCAGCAGGCCATCGCCGCCATGAACAGGTGCGCAGAGAGGGAGGGGGGGGGGGGGGCGGCGGCTGAGCTGACCACCCCAGGTCGCTCGCCGTTGCCTACATCCAACCGTACATCTGATCCACAGCCTCTCGGTCGCCGACTCCAGTTGCTCCCCGAGCACGCAGGGCGCTGGCCATCGACCCCTCCAACCTGGAAACCCTGCTCAGCCTGGGCGTCTCACACACCAACGAGCTGGACTCCAGCGAGGCCCTGCAGTACCTGGGACAGTGGGTGTCGCGCCACCCGACGCACGCCCCCGTCGTCGCCGGCATCCAGCGGCCCGCGGATGCCAGCCAGAGCCTGGTCCATGTGGTGAGGGATTGGTTGGTTGGTGGTGAAATGGGGACTTGACAGGAAGATGGTGGCGCTCGATGTCGTGTGCGCCTGGCGTGCCGTCCTGCAGCTTGGTCGTGAGGAAGTGGCAGGGGGCCCATGGGTCGGATTCTGGCCCCTTGCGCGGTTGATTATCATGTAGTAGTTCCGAAATTCTTCCCCTCCTCCCCTCTCCCCACCCTTTCCTGCAGACATCGCTGCTGGAGGCCGCGCTGGCGGCCAACCCGCGGGACGCCGACCTGCACACCGCGCTGGGCGTGGTCCATAACCTGGCGAGGCGGTACGACGAGGCGGTACAGGCCTTCCGCCGGGCACTGGAGTTGCGGCCCCAGGACTACTCGCTGTGGAACAAGCTGGGCGCCACGCTGGCCAACAGCAGCCAGAGCCGGGACGCGGTGCCCGCCTACCGCAAGGTGTGCGGGTGTGGGAGGAAAGGATGGAAGGGGGGAAGGAGGTCTGGGAAGGCCGGCTTGATGAGGCAGCACGTCTGCTAGAACTCCTGATGTCCCAATCATGGCTTTCAGCGGGCTGAAATGAGACTCCAAGGATGAGTATCTCTAACTGCTGATGCCAGCCATACCCTCCACCCCTATACGCTTCCCCTCTTCCCATCCCATGTCTGAAGTTCACAGTCCTACCCCCCCCCCCCTCCTTTGTCACTCTTCCACCCACCCTAACCAGGCGCTGGAGCTGAAGCCCAACTACATGCGGGCCTGGACCAACATGGGGATCAGCTACAGCAACCTGGCCGACTATGACGCCAGCGCGCGGTACTATGTCCGCGCGCTGAGCCTGAACTCGCGCGCCGCGGCCGTGTGGTCCTACCTCCGCACCGCACTCATGTGCGGCGGGCGCACCGACCTGCTCCCCGTGGCACAGGCAGAGGACATCCAGAGGCTCTCCGCCGAGCTGCCGCTGTGAATGCTGTCGTTGGCGACTGGCTGGCGTGCGAGCGGGCGGGCAGGCGCAGGGGCGTGAGCGTTACGCTGTGTGCTTGTACACTGGTTCAAAGCACTGTGCAGGTTGCCATGCAGCTGTGCTTGCGTTTACAGGCGATTCAGTGCCTCAGGAGGGAGGGGCACATTCTTCAGGGCACCAAGGGGGTAACGAGCGCATGCACCGCCTTGCCCTCTGCGCGCCGAGACTCTACTTTGGTGGCGCTGGGGCCGCCTCTGCTGGGGGCTCGTCCAGATTCCTGGGTGGTGGGTAGAGGGAGGGAGGAGAGGGTGACGGTCTGGAGGGAGATGGAGACCACGATAGACACGCAGGGCAGGAGCTGGGCCCGTCCGGGCAATGTACCCGATGCACATGGCCAGTATGCGATTTGCTGAGCAGAGGCTGGCAAACTCACGCACAGCTCCACCCCTCCACCCATCACGATAATACGACCATCCTAGGCCGACCTGCAGTAGGGTCCGGGAGGGGGCCCCCTCAGTGTGATGTTGGCGCCAGGCGAGTCCTCCACCCACTTGCCGTCCGCGACGGCACCCGAGGGCTCCGCATTGTGGCGGTGCTGGCTCCCGACCTGTTATAGAGATGAGGGTGGGGGCAGGTGAAGCTTTGGTTAAACCTGGACAGTCGATGGGGGTGGCAATGGGCGGCTGGAGGTCACGATGATAACAGAGTCTGTCCCACTTGCCAATGATTTCCATGTCAACATCCTGGCTTGGGTGGCTGGTTGTAGCCAATTCCCCAACACCCTGGCCGCTGCAGGGGCTGGGTGATCAGAGGTACACTCTTCTCTCACCCTCTCCATCGCCCCAGATGACCTTCCCCTCCACTTCTAGCACCCAATCCCCCAGAACCCTCCTCACCTTGGGCTTCTTCCCCGCCTTGAGGTCCTCCAGGATGCCCACGACGTCCTCCGGGGTCAGGTCCTCGTAGTAGGTGTAGGTGAACTTCTCCACGCCGCCCGAGTAGTCGGCCACGGCGATCATGGGCGCGTTGACGCAGGCGCCCATGCACTCCATCTCCGACAGCGTGAAGAGCTTGTCCGGCGTGGTCTGGCCGTACACCACGCCCAGGTGGCGGCTGACAGCCTCGTAGATGCCCTTGGCGCCCTGGAGCATGCAGGGCGTGGTGCCGCAGACCATGACGTGGTAGCGCCCCATGGGCGAGCGGTTGAACATGGTGTAGAAGGTGGCCACCTCGTACACGCGAATGGGGGCCACGCCCAGGACCTCCGCCACGCGGTTCATGGCGGCCAGGGAGAGGAAGCCGGAGTTCTGCTGCTGGGCCAGGTCCAGGAGCGGGATCATGGCCGAGGCCTGGTAGTTCTCGGGGTAGCGGGACAGGATCTCCTTGGCCTTGGCCATGTTCTCCTTGGTGAAGTCGAACTCTGTCTCCCAGTTGTTGTGCGGCTCGTGCCGGTGCTGGAGCGGGGAGGAGGGATGGGGGGTTGTCGCTGGGGGTATGCAGGTGAAAGGATGGAGGTGTGCAGGGGGGGTGGGGGGGGATAGATCACTGTGCATGACACAGATGGAGGCAGAACTCCACCCCATACTCGAACACCACCCACCCACTCACAATGTTGAAGATGTCGTGGCTGTTGGTGGCAAAGGCCCTGGATGCGACGCTGAGCACCTGCACAGTCATGGTGCGGACCGCATCACATTTTACTGACATCAACACAATCCCGATACCAGTATCAGGCAGGGTCCTGGTTGCAATCTCGGCTCCACACTACGCACCTCCTGCTGCTGCTGTGGCTGCACGGACGCGCCAGACCCGCGCAGGAGCGTGGCAGCCCTGGCAAGTGCCCTGGCGCTCCTCAGCATGATGGCGTGCTACCTCGTATCGGGGCTCGGCAAAAAGCGAGCCAGGCAATAAACCTTCGCTGGGTCCGGACCGAGTGTTTCTCGCCGAATCAGGGCGTGACCCGTACGACCCTCTCGACACTGGTCAGACTACTGGTGCCTCTGATTCGTTGCATGATTTTGATTCAGGGTGCGGGCCTCCTGGCGCCCGGGCCTGCTGGCAAGGGGGTCCACCGTGGCATGGGCAGCATCAGATTCCAGGTTTCCTCAGCTCGCCCCTCCCAATCGAGGGGAGGGTAGTGGAGGGAGTATCGGGACCCCCTGAATCCTAGCGATGGTGTATATGGAGCCAGACTTGGCATCGGCCATTTGAAGGCCCTTTATGAGTATCAGTCCTGCCTGGAACCCCGACGCAGGTCACACGGCCTCTCTTTGTTACACCACACGGGAGGCACCCCTGTCTGTCGCTCAGCCTCGGAAGTCGCGGTCAGGGAGGTGCTTGTCGCGACACGTACAGCCTGAGAACGCCTGGAGCTGAACATAGTCCGATTCTTTCGTTCACATCAGAGGCAGCCCTCCTCCCCAGGCCTCCTATCCCTCCGGGGTTGGACACCCCCTCCAGGACAGGGGGTCGGCATGTCTGTCGCATCCCACGCCGGCTCGAAGCGTCTGCTGCACGGCGAGGGGGCGGCGCTGGGCGAAGTCTCCCCGCTCGCAGGCAAGCGGGGGCGGTGGACAGGAGAGCAGGTCAGCAGCTGCGCGCAGGCCTCCCGAGCTCTGCCACCCAGTCTGAAGAGGTCGACGATTCTGGCCCTGGCAGCCCTCTTCCCGAGCATGAGTGACCAGGTTTGTGCAGAATTCTGTGGTTGCGAGGTCGATGCTCATGGCGATGGCTGGGAAGGTGGTGTGGCCTGAGGTCGTCATACCTCGATGGTTTCAGGCAAGGGTAGTAAGAGTGTATGGAGCGCTGGGCAGTAAGTAGCCTGTCGAGGTCCCCCTTTTCGTCACCGTCTCTTCACTCTGGGACTGTTTGAGCCCTTCTCAATTCTGCGGGAAGCACCAGTGGCCTGGATTGTTCTCAAGGCTCCCAAAGAAACCCTCGCAATCTCGCCTCCCCCCCCCCCACGGAAATCGCGGCTGTGCTAGAGGAGTATGGCAACGACGTGGATGCGGCGATCAAGCGGCTGAACGAGCTCCAGCTGGGCGGTGCGCGGGAGGCGGCCCCCTCGGGGACCGCCCCCGCCTTCATCCCCGGCGACCGCCCGACGCCCGGGCAGGAGCAGCAGGGGCAGGGGGCGGGCGGCTTGCCCAGCGCGCCGCCCTCCCCCACGGCCCACTCCGCCGCCGAGTGGGTGGAGGAGGTGGTCCGCGAGATGACCGCGGCGCGGTCGGTGGAGGATGCCCGGGCCCGGGCGGCGCGCGTGCTGGAGGCCTTCGAGCGGGGCGTGATCCTGCACGCCGCCAAGCAGGTGCGGTGTGGTCTCGGAGGGGTGAGGGGCGGGGGGTGCAGGGAGTCCAGGCGCGCTGAGGACTCCAGCCGCATGCTGGCGCAGTGCTCTGTGCCATCGGCGATGGCCCCGGAATGGTGGGGCCTCGCTCTCGTCAGGCACCCACCCGGCCAGCGTGCTCTGTCGCGGCCGGCTCATCCCCGGCCAGCGCAACCACACCCATCTTCTGCCCCCCTGTCGACGACTGTCGTCCTCCACCGCCTGCATCCACGAGATCAACTCACCCCCCCCCTCCTTCTCACAGGACGGGGCCAGCCCCACCACGCGGCTCCGGGCGCAGCTGCAGGAGGCGGGGCGCGAGAATGCGCTGCTCAAACGCGCCGTGGCCATCCAGAACGCGCGGCTGCAGGACGGCGGCGCGCGGGAGGCCGAGGCCGCGGCGCTGCGGGCGGAGCTGGACGCCGCGCGGCGCCGCATCCAGGTGCTGCAGGTGCAGAACTACTCGCTGCAGGTGCACCTGCAGGCGGCTGCGGGGTCCCCGCCCGACGCCGCCGGCGGGGCCTTCCGCAACCCGGACGTGTTCTGACGGCCGGCACCGGCGGCGACGCACCCGCGCCCCCAAGCCACGCAGCACCCGCTCTTCCTGGCAAACGCCAGGAGGGGCGCTGGCGCACGTTCCCTCGTCGTCGGAGGAGATGCCGGGGCACGATCCCAGTTTTCCACTCGGGGCATGCCCTGCGGCCCACGCCTCCCTTTCCTGACGCCGCACCCCTGTACCATGGCCTGTACTCCGGCCGCCAGACCGGACGGCCCCCCATATCTTGCCGACGGCCCTGTGCCAAAGCCCCCCCCTCCCTCACTGCCCGCCCCGCCATTGGGGATCGCTGTACACTTCAACTTCCTGCACTGTGCAATGGATCCAGGGGGCTGACCTGACATGGGGGAGTGCCATGGACAGCAGATCACCGCGCGGCGCTGCCCGGCCCTCCTCGCACATCTGCAGTGCCTCGAAGCGGCGACGCAGGCTGCAGTGCCCCCGGACAGCCTCACAGCGCGTCCAGGCGGGCCTGCACGTCCTGCAACGCCCCCCGGAGCTCAGCGTGCAGAGCGTGGTCGCCGAAGCCGGGCTCCGCGGCGCGCACGACGCCTCGGAGGTGCATGCGCGCCGCCGAAAGCTCGCGCCTGCCCCCGCCCTCGGCCGCCGCGGCCGCCACGCGGAGGTGGGCGACGCCCAGCGCCAGCGAGGCGCGCGCGAAGCGCTCGAAGCGCGTCGTGTCCGACTGCCAGGCGGCGCCCTGCAGCGCCCGCACCTCCTTCAGCCTGCACTCCAGCGCGAGGGAGGGGTCCTCGCTGGTGGCCTCGTGGTACCTGTTTCGGGATTGTGTTTTTGGGGGCTGGGACACTGGGGGTGGGGGCGCATGGCATGCGGTGGCATGGGGGACGGAAGCACCTGCCCCGTAGGTCTCTAGCATGCATCTCGCCTGGAAGCCCCCGCTCCAGCTCCATCCCGCCGTCTCATGCGCCGCGCCACCACCCCCGCACTCACAGCAAGCCACCTCTTCTCCCCACCCGCGCGGCAGCCCACCTGGCGAAGAGGCCCCAGAGCTCGGCGCCGCCTGCACCGCAGGCCGCGGCCTGGCGCAGAACAGCGTGCACAGCGCGCTGCAGCATGGCTGCCCCGCGCGCGTCGGCCGCCGCCTGCACGGCCGCCGCCTCCTCGCGCGCGGCCGCGTCGCGCGCCTCCGTCGGCCGCTCGGCCGCCTCGCCGGCCTCGCCCAGCCACCGCGCCGCGGCCAGGTCCAGCTTTTTGAGTCGCGCGTCCACCTCTTCGTCGTAAGGATCCAGCAGGTCGCCATCTTCCTCGTCGCCGCCCCTCCCACCATCCCCCTCCCTCCATCCCCTCCCTCCTCCTCCTCCTCCGCGCAGCGCTCCAGCCGGCGCACCAGCGCCTCCAGCGCCTCCAGGTCCAGCCGCGCGCCGTCTGACAGGCGCAGCACTTCCTGCAGCGCGTGCGCGGCGGCCTGCCACTCGCGCGCGCGCGCCGCCACCGCGCCGTAGTTCTCCCAGGCCTGCCAGCTGTCGCGTTTGTGGCGCAGCGCCTCGGTCAGCGCGGCGAAGGCCGGGCGCCAGGCGCGCAGCGCAATGTGCGCCGCGCCCAGGTTGTTCCAGGCCTCGCCGTTGTCCGGCTGCTGCTGCGCGGCGCGAGTGAAAGCCGCGCGCGCGCCCGCGTGGTCGCGCTCCTTCAGGCACGCGTAGCCCAGGCTGAACCAGCCCTCGGGGTGCAGCGGGCTGAGCGCGAGCGCGGCGCGCCAGTGCCCCGCGGCCTCGGCATGGCGCCCCGCGCCCGCCGCCAGGCGTGCCAGCGACCGCTGCGCGCGCGCGCTGCGCCCGCCGCTGGCCTCCCACGCGCGGCGGTAGTGGCCCGGGTCCAGGCTGAGGTCGCCCAGAGCGCACCAGAGGCGTGGGTCGCTGGGGCGCACCTCCAGCCGGCGGCGCACCAGCGCCTCCGCCGCGCCGCGCTTGCCCAGCAGCTGGTAGCACACGATCACGCTGTCCCACAGCTCCACGCCCTCGAACAATGGCAGCGCGGAGGCCACCGCGCCCGCCGCCACCAGCGCCTCGCCCAGCTCGCGGCGCAGCGGCGTGCGCAGCGGCAGCGCGCCGAAGAAAGCGCAGCGCAGGCGCGCGGCGGCAGGGGGCCGTGGCGCGCCCCCGGCCTCCTCCACGCCCTCCAACGAGGCCAGGCCGCGAATGCGGGTGCGGGGCCGCTCCAGCTCCAGCCGCGCGAGCTGCAGCCGCGCCGCCGTCGCCAGCACCCACTGTGTGGGGTTGGGGGTGTCTTTTTGAGAGGAGAATCTGTGTCTCTCGTGAGCTCACGGCCCGGAGATGCAGCGTGGCATTTCCTTGTTTTGACGACAAGCGCAGGGGATCTCCCCCCTCCACCCCCCCCTGCTGAGTCCCCGGTCCACCCCCGCACCTGGCTCAGGTCCTGGGCCACAACGGCCTCGGCGTAGGCCGCCAGCTGGCCCGCACGCACGGCGTCGCCCGCGCTGCCCTTCCGCAGCAGCGCCGCGCGCGCCAGCAGCAGCGCCTGCTCCAGGGAGTGCAGGTCCCGCGGAGCGGCGGCCGCTGGGGGCCTGCCACCCGCGCCCTCCACCAGCCGCGGGCCGGGCAGAACGTCGTCGGCGCCATCCGGGGTCTGCGTGGGCCTGGCCCCCGCCGCGGCGACGTCCGGGGGCAGGAGGTCGTCGACTCGCGCCGCGCCACGGTCCCGGACCCAGGCCCCCCGCCGTGAGACGGAGACCACCAGCTGCGCCTTGGCTTCCGTCTGGTGAGCGGTGCGGGTGCCCAGCACGCCCGCCAGCTCGGCGCCGAACCCCGCAAGCCCGTCTGCGACGTCCAGCCCGGAGCGCGCGTCGGCCACGCGACTGTACGCCAGGTGGCGGGCCGCGCTTTCCAGGGCCAGCGCGACGCGCAGGGCGCGGGGCCAGGCGGGCGCCGCGGCGGCAGCGGCGGACCACAGCTCCTCGCACAGCACGCACAGCGTGGCGCTGCGCCCGCGCAGCAGGCGCTGCTGCGTCAGCGCGGCGCGGCCGGCCCACCACGCCCAGCTGGCGTGGGCGCGGCCGGCCGCCGGCGAGGCCGAGCCAGGGGGCCCTACCAGGCAGTACCGCGCCAGGAGGAGGTACTGAGGGCCCACCACGACGCCCTCCACGTCCTCGCCGTCCTCGGACAGCTGGGAGATGGCCCACCTGTTGGTGTGCGGGAGGGGGAGGGGGAAAGTCTTGACGGCTGATGCAGGATCATGATGAGGCGGGGGCAGTGGGAGGATGTTGACCTCTCCAAGGAGGACAGATGCGGGCTATCAGGAGCATGCCCTGCAAGATCTCAAGGTAGAGCCAGAGATATTGTGGTGGGAGTGCCTATGCTCAGGACGAGCGGACGCTGTGCCAAATACAATGGCCACACCCTTTAACGAAGCAGATCCCGGGTGCAAAGCCGATCCTGTGGCCCTCCTCCGACCCACCACCCCTACCTATCTCCATGAGGGTGGTTTTCTGTCTTCTGTCTGTTCTCATGGACATCAATCTCGGTCTGGGCTGAGCTGCTGGCAGGGCTGCAGCTGCTGCCGCCTGGTGGGCAGGGGCCGGTCACGTTCTGCCTTACGAATTCGCAGAGGGCTGCGGCGCCCATTACCAGCACCGAGTCATCCCCAATACTACCAAGGGCCGGTCCCAGGGCTGCAAACCAGTCAGGCACGCTCTCCGCAGTGGCCAGAGCCTCTGAGGGGGCCAGGTCGAGCACCGAGGCCACAGCAGCTGCGAACTGCCCCTGCCTGAAGCTGACTACCTCAGGCCGGACAGATACCTCGGGTACCTCTTCATCGTATGGAACAGTGAGCTCCAGAAGCTGTAGTTCCAGGTCTGAAATCGCCGTGCCGGGGGTAAACTGCGGCATGGCGCGAGCACGCCCAGTGGGCTCGAGGACGGGTGGGCCAATCAACGGGTGTTCATTGTGTGAAATGTCCCTTTGTTTCTGGACTGAACGCTGAAGCCTCGCATTTGGCAGTTGTATGCTGATGTAAGTGCCGCATGCATGACCCGACTTTCCGCGCGCGCGAACAACATTCGTCAGGATTGTGTCCCGGATCCCACTTCCCAGCACACTGTGACTCGGATCTCGGGACCCATGCCACTTCTACATGGTATGCATAATGCAATTCTCAATTTATATGCCAGCATCCCCAGATGCCGGTGATGCCTAGGAAACAGGCCGACATCCTGGGTGGGCGGGTGTAGCACCTAGAGCAGACGGAGGACGATGACAATCGCTGAAGGAAATCTATGTATGTTCAAGATGCTAATCTCAGCCCTGTAGCAGTCGAGCGTGCGGGGGAGTCCTGTTCAATTCGCTCCGACGCTTTGTAGGTGATCAGTCTGAATGCTTAGGTGATCGAACTGCCGGAACGGCAGTGTGGGTCTCTTGCGATGTCGGGGAGTCGTACCATCATCATCACTACGTGTCAGCATAGCTGTTCGAACATTACTTGCCTCAGACCGCGGCGGTGCGCGATCTCCTGCTCGGCAGCGCTTCTCGAGAAAGTGTCGGACCCACCGCCACCGTCGCTGCCCACGTCTGGCCTGGCGTCCATACCATGGCGAACCCCCTCACCCGCATGCCGACCGTTTTTGTGGCACATGGCAGCCCCATGGCTGCCCTGGAGACCGGCCAGAGCAGCCAGGTCTGGGCGCGACTCGGCAAGGAGCTTCCCCGGCCACGGGCCATCCTCTGCATCTCCGCACACTGGGAGACCCAGGGCACGCGCGTGACCTCCATGGCCCACCCCCCGACCATTCACGACTTCCGGGGCTTCCCCCCGGCCCTGTACGACATGCAGTACCCCGCCCCGGGGGATCCCGCCCTGGCCAGGGAGATTGCTCGGGAAACAGGCGCCCAGCTGGACGACGGCTGGGGCCTGGACCACGGCTGCTGGACGCTGCTACACCACATGTACCCAGAGGCCGGCATCCCCGTCCTCCAGCTGAGCCTGGACACCGCCAAGACCGCGGCGGAGCACCTGGCCATGGGCCGGCGCCTGCGCCCGCTGCGCGACCGGGGGGTCCTGGTGCTCGGATCCGGCAACGTGGTGCACAACCTGAGGCAGGGACTGGGCGCACACCCGCCCCCAGCCTGGGCCACGGCTGTCAACTCCCAGGTGCGGAGCTGGGTGAGGGAGGGGCGGGAGGGGGAGCTGGTGCGCTGGCGGGAGAAGGGGCCGGACTTCCGGCTGGCCATCAACTCCGGCGAGCACTTCCTGCCGCTGCTGTATGTCCTGGGGGCGGCCCAGGAGGGCGAGCAGGTGGAGGTCTTCAACGACCGCCTCGAGATGGGCAGCATAGCCATGACCTCCTACAAGTTTGGCTGACATGAGCATTGATTTGCGATCATGGCGTAGGCCCGTGTCGGGCACAAGCTGCTGGCATGTGCTGTCTATTCCCTCCGTGAAATGCATGTATGTTTGCTGCGCCGTATTCCTTCCAGAACCCAAGGCCGAGCCCAGTGAGACAAGGAGGGTTGCAGCGGGCAACACTGTACTGCGGCGTTGCCATTCGCACCAGGCTTCTCAGGTTACATTGAGAGGTTTCGAAAGGAGAAGAGGGATGTTTTTGCCAGAGGCCTGGGTGGCCGAGCAGGCGATGGACATACTCCGAGGTCACTACTCGTGACAATGGACCATGTCCCTCATGCAGTGGTACTGAAGGCAGCTTGCAAGTTCAAGGGGGGGAACTTGTTGAGTCAACCGGGCTCAACCAAAGCACCAGCCATGGCGGTGCATCCTGAAAGTACCTGGGGACATTGCAACGATCAAAGGGCAGCCACCGCATTGTGCATCAGCAGAATGGGGCCAATGACGAGTGGAGGCTGGTTTAATGCATGGATGCCAGGGTGGAAATGCACAATGTCATACAGCAGTCATTACAATGCATGGTGGAAGGCAGTCATTGGGTTCCTGGACAGTCATCTGAATGGGAGCAGGAATGGTATTCCCATGGGCGACCTGATTCAAGTGGCCGTCCCCCATTGCAGCCCCAGCCCTGCATTCACTTGCGACGACCATGGCCAGAGTGGTGCCCTCCTATGCCTTCGAACCCGGGATCGATGCCCTTGGAGGAGCCAGAAGCATGAGAGGTTGGTGCCTGGTCGCTCCCGCTTGCGAGTGATTCGTGGATGCTCTCCTTGCCCAGGAGGGATCCCTCTCCCAGAACGACGGACCCGGGCTCTGTGTCAGATTGAAAGAGGCGCCCTCCGATCATGGCCTCCGTGCTGCCGTCAGAGCGGTGAGAGTGGACTCCAGTGGATGCGGCGCCCTGCAGTGGTGTCGAGGGAGATGGCGCGGTGACGGCCAGTGGCTTTCGACAAGCTCTATTCGTGAGGGTACGGAGCAGTCAAGACGTGCTCCGATATTCAGCACCACGATACCATCATGTTTTCAACTACTCCTGGAAAGGCATGCGTAAAGATGCGGTGATCCAAGGCCCCACACTCACCACAACGACGCACCTGTGAACTCATTACGACACCGGTTGACAGGTCGACAGTGGGGTTGCGACCGTGTAAGAGTACGTAAATTATTCGCTTGGGCAATATGTAAATGAAACTGAGGATTTATATAGTTTTTGTGGTGCAGTGCAACGGTGACGTGACATAATTGTTTCAAGAAGGTAGAGTACATACAAATCTGCATGGCTACGCAACGTCGATGGCGGGAGCTATGGAGAATCCAGTGTGATGATTGTGATGGTTGGGTAAAACGTCGTCGGGGACAGGTGTAGGGTTGATTTGTGGAAATGTAAAATATCAGAAGTAAGATTGTGTTATCTAAATTCAACAATTATAATTGATCAACCCACACTATGTGATTAATACCTTTACTGTTTACACATCACCCATGCATACAATGGTGAAACATTGGGGAGGAGTTTACTCATCCAAACACAGATTGGGGAAACATGGAGACCGAGACACAATATGTTCAGTACTTGGTGGAGGTGTGGTGGCCAGTGCCGGTGGTATGTGTCTCGGAAGTCTTGCCATCGAAAACACGCTCAGCTCCCTCAATAACGCGCTCGCGCGTGCCGAGGTGCTCGGTGGAGCGCTGGTCAACCAGATCACGCTCATTGCCGGTGGCGCGGGTCTCCACCACAAACTCCTTCTCCACGGGGCGGTGCTCACGGATTTGCTCCACACGCTCCTTCACCAGAGAACGATCCTCGGTGTTGGTGTAGTAGTCCTGGCCAAGGACCTGCTCCTTGCCCTGCCTGGCAGCAGACTCGATGTGGGTCTTGGTGTCACCAGAGGTGTGACTGTGGCCATGGCCAGAGTGGTGGCCGGTAACACCCTCGGTGCCGTAGGCGCCCGCAGTACCGCCGGTGGAGCCGTAGGTCTCGGTGGTCTTGGAGTAGTTGGTGTCGCTGCCAGTGAGACCGGTGGTTCCGGTGGTTCCGGTGGTTCCAGCAGTGCCGGTGGTGCCGTAACCGGCGCCAGTGCCGGCGAGCCCGGTGGTGTTGCCGGTGGTGCCGTAGCCGGTGGTACCCTTCTCGGTGTAGGTACCGGTGCCGGTGCCGGTGGTGGAGTCCTGGTGGCCGGGAGTCAGTGCGTCCTGCACGTGCAATGGTATAGGAAGATGAGTTCAACTACACGTGACGGGAGTTACTGACCAAGCCGCGGGCGATCGACTCGTGGCGTTCGACACCCTCCGAGATACGTTTCGGCACTGGCATCGGAAGCTGCTCGCTAAAGCCCGATCGAGGCACCGCGCAAGCCCTCCGTCTACCAACACAGAGATCTAACAACGGTAACACGGCAATGCCCGACCCCTCGCCCTCAAACGCGGAACCGAGCGGGGCTCCGACATACCTTAATGTTGGCGCCGACATTCTTGATCTTATCGCCGATAGGCATGATGAAGAGGTTTGGGGAGTGTGATCCGGGGTTGGGAGACGAGTTGATGAGGAAATGGGCAGGACTTGATGTAGATGTGTGAGATGTTGTCAAAATATACGGGTTCATGTACTTTGGAGCGCGTGGAACTGACATTTCCCCTGAAGCTTGCTTGCAGCTACCGAATCTTTGCTGGCAGGTACACAGCCGGTTCCATGCCGTTGCCGGTGTGCGATGCTCCTGGGCCACGGGACGCCCAGCCTTTCCCCTCGTGACCTAGACACTTTCCTGGCAGGCATCTACATCCTCGAATTACCACCTTGAATGTTCCGATGGGCTTCCACGGGCTCTGGGGCTCCATTCTCCATCGCCGGATCGACATGCGATATCCGATCGGCGCCAAAACGTGTTGATCCGATCCGGAAATTTGGGTATCCGGCCCCGTATCTTTTCGGAACGCAGCTGCTCCCTGGTTGATGATCATGCATGGTACCAAACATATCCCTATCCCTGCCAAACCCTTTATTGTTGTACTGTGCTGTCTGAGATAGGTTGCAGGAAGCTATTTCAGGGTGTGGGTGCATCATGAATCAATATTGAGGGTGCCAACGCTCAACACACTTGGCAGCTCAAGGGTGGTGGCGGCAATGAGGGTGAGAAATGATGTATCACATACCAGGCGATATATCTTAGTGAGACTTCCGAGTGGTTTCAGTTCCGGCGCCGACAGGAGCCACATCGCTGGTGGTGGTGAAGGCTGACTTCACAATATGTTCCTCCTCCCCCAGATGCTCCGCATACCGCTTCTCCACAGCCTCCCGCTCCCTGCCAGTCGTACGCGTTTCAGTCTGTATTGAAAGTATGGGAGTCAACCGTTACGAACAGGGTTCAATGTACAGTTTGGCAAGCTTGGTAGGAACAAGCTGGATACCACTGACTCTGCACAGCATAATCCAACAACCTCCCATTCAGATTGCCACAAGATTGAACAACACAATGCATGCTATATAAACTGCTCACCAGGATCTCCTTCTCCACGGGCCGGTGCTCAACATAGGTGTACGTCACCTCACGGATCACAGGACGGTCCTCCACCTGGATGGGATAGGAAGGGTGCTCATTTGAGGATAACATCCTATCACCATTGCACCATGTTCGAGAGCAAACTAGTGATAGCTTAAATGCAATTAACCATGCACACTTCCACGAGATACCATTCAACCGCTCTCCACCTGGGTAGAGTAGAGCTGGTCCTCGACCTTTCCCTCAGATTCCTGAGAGAGTTCCGTCGTTTGTGAGGGGGCTGTCACCGTCTCTTTCCTCCCCACACTCTTTTCCGCAGAGGTAGTCCCAGCGGTGGTGGTGGTCCTGGTGGTGGCGGTGGTGCCTGCTGTTTTCGCAGAGGGCACGTCTGCGACGACATTGCTCGCGGCAGCTGGCTCCGTCCGAATCGCCTTCTTGCCGACCACGCCATCGGGCTGGAGCACGCCCAGCCCGGCGCCTCCCGCCGTCCCATAGCTCGCCCCGACATTCTGGTAAGTGGCGTTGCTCGCGTCTCCCAGAGGACGCCCCTCCTTGTCCTTGGGGTTGAAACAGTTGCTGAAGAATGTCTTGATGCCCATTTTCGAAGCAAAGTCTACGGCCTACGGTACCAGACACACGTTGTCACTCTACACTGCTTGTGAGGCACCAAAATGGTCTGAATATATCCAATGTAGGCCGGAGACGCAACTGGTGGGCCTGCATCAAATTCGCGAATGTAAGTGTGGAACCTCCGAGGCATTGACATCGAAGGTGCCTCAGCTGGTGACTTCCATGCAACAAGCAATGCCGTTTGGGGACGGGTCGCATTGATCGACGCAGAAAATCTACCCCGCCGTGTAGCAGTAGATTGTACAAGGGTCCTAGTGACAATCTCAGGGGGGCCATGCTTCGTAGATGGGGGGAGAGGCACAGCGGGAGTCGCGCTGGCCTACACCCCGGCGACGAAAGTGCATCTCGCGAGCAGTAAAGCAGGGAAAGCGAGGCGTTGCATACTCCAGAAGCCGAGGTAATATATAATGTGCAGACAATGCAGCGTTGTGCTCTTGAGAATGACTCATTATGGCCAAAGTGTGATGGTCTGTGGCGGCTGATCACTCGGATAGGCGGTATCTGCTCCAGGGAACCACCGTTTGCAAACTTCATAACATGAAGCAGGCTAGGGTCCTAAGATACAACGCGATGATATGTTCCCAACAATATCACGCCTGCCAAAATTGTCGCAACCAACACAAACGGTGCTGGCGCCAGCCGGACGGGCACTGCTTGAGGCAGCACTCTTGATGGTCTGGACCACAGGGAACATGACGCTTCACCACTCCATTGGTTATGTCGATTTCCAATGCCCCATAAGATTGGAAATAATGTTCTCAAAGCGAGGTCACGCAACTGTCTAGATAGATAACTCTTCGTCCACCATTTTGGCCTTTCGGCGGTGCGCGCGCCTTGACAATGCTCCCGCCACGCTGAGAGAATCCCTCGATGGGGGGTTCTGACCAACCCCTTGCATGCGTCCAGCAGCCTGGATCGCACTCCGATACGTGTCAGGACCAGTAGAGATCGAGTATGCGCTTGCGGCATCCTTCCTGATCACTCAAAGGCTCTGCCCACGGGACCTCTCCACCCCTTCCTGCTAATACGACGGAGCACGTAACGCCATGGCGAAGCAGCGGAAGCTGCAGGGCGAGATGGAGGCCGCGCTAAAAAAGATCGCGGAGGGTGTGGACGAGTGGGAGGACTTGTGGAACAAGTACGAACGATCCCACGACATGGTGAGTGCTGAGGTGACGCTGTGCGGTGGGTTCGAGTCCCGCGGGCGTACCCGAGTAGTCTCACAATGCATCGATGTCCATCTGTCAGGACGCCGCGCAGCGGGAGCGGTTGGTCGCCGAGATGAAGCGCGATCTGAAGAAGCTCCAGGTAGTACACGCGATACATTGGAAGGGTGTGCAGACCTGCGAGCTGCACAACCAAGCATCTGACCACCTGAAGCACACCATCGCCAATGCATGTGCGAGCTGCTGGCCACTCACACCTGCTCTGCCCCGCTCTCCTGTCAACAGCGGCTGCGGGAAGCTGTCCGTGGCTGGCTAGCCAACAACGAGGTCCGGGTGGCCAAGGACACGCTGGAGAAGGCGCGGAGAAGCATCGAGATCCAGATGGTGGGTCCTGAGAGCCTTTGGAGGGGCCTGGGGTGCAAGGTTTGCCGGGGCTTCGCTCTCCGCACGAGCTTTTGGCGCCGCAGTAGGGGAGTGGTGTGCAGCATGCGGGTGTGTGCCAGTTGCCGCTCGGCACTGATGCAATCAGCAGCCTTTGGGAAACTCTGAACGCAAGACGTTGCTTCACATCTGCCGTCCCTCCCCCCTCTCCCGCCAATCATTTACAGGAGCGCTTCCGGGTGGTGGAAAAGGATGTCAAGGGCAAGGCCCATATGGGGCTCGGCCGGGACGCCCTAGACCCTGCGGCAGGTGACTGGAGGGTTGCCTGGGGAGTGTGTTACGCGCCTGCAAGGCTGGGCAGGGCTTGGTGCAGCAGCCCTGGGCCAGCCCTCAGGTGCCCTCCTCCTTGCACCCCCTTCTTTACACAGCTGCGAAGCAGCAGTGCGCCGACTGGCTCACAGACGTCATGGACCGTCTGCAGACCGAGGTGGGTGGGAGGTTCTGAGCGTGCCTGGTCCAGATCGGTCCCCAGTCGGCCGGCCCCGCGTCGCATGCTCTGTGGCGCAACTGCCGGTGTGCCTGTCCTCCCTGTGTCAGATTGAGGCATGCGAGGCGGATGTAGAGAACCTGGGCCCCGCCGGCAACAAGGCCAAGAAGACACGGTGAGTGGATGAAGTGAGAAAGGCCGGGAGGAGCCCGGGGGGGGGGGGCGGCCGGGGCCGTCGCCCCGCTTCCTGCCGGCTGCGCCTGCCGCCTGCTCGACCGCTGGAGGGCACACCCCGACCGGTCGCTCCCTTCCCGAACGAAAATGACTCGGCAGGCTGGCCGAGCTGCAGGGCCTCATCGCGCGGCACCAGCAGCACGTGACGCACCTGGAGCAGACGCTGCGCCTGCTGCGCAACGACCAGGTGGAGGCGGAGGAGGTGGAGGACGCGCTGAAGGAGGGGCTGGAGGCCTACCTGGACACGGGCGGCGAGGCGTTCGACCCCGGGGAGGACGAGGGCCTGTACGCCTCTCTGCCCCTGGAGGAGGTGGGTTGTGAGAGGAGGGAGAGGGGGAGGGGTGGTGGGGATGCAGGGGGGTGACCTGCCTTGGGTAGTGGTGAGTGGAGCAGGCTTGCCCCCCGGGGCAGGCGCTCAAACTGTGCTGTGTGAGGAGTCGGGGGCAGACTGCGTGTCGGTGCAGGTGCATGGCCCTTCTCATGGCATTCTTGTTGCAGGCCGGGCATCAGCTGCAGGCCCAGACCACCCCAAACCCACCTCCCCCCAGGTGGACGCCAATGTGGGGAAGCTGGCCGACCCGGTGACGCCCAAGGTCGCGCCCGTCGCCCTGCCCGAGGTGTGGTACCCGGACGCCTGTGGTTGGGAGCAGCCCTGCGGATGGAGGCGTGCAGGGACGAGGGACTGGCTCGGGCCCTGGGAGCTGCCGCCGCGGGCTCGCAGTGCGCACGCTGCGTGCGCTGCGTGCGCTGCGTGCGCTGCGTGCGCTGCGTGCGCTGCGTGCGCTGCGTGCGCTGCGTGCGCTGCGTGCGCTGCGTGCGCTGCGTGCGCTGCGTGCGCTGCGTGCCAGGCAAGGGTGTGTGAGCGCCGCCGTGGTCCCATCCATCGCGCAGGAGCCTGCGAAGAAGGCGAAGCCGGGCAAGCCGACGCCGATCAAGACCAAGCCCGTCAAAGGTTGGCTGGTGTGAGGATGGCTGGCTCGGCGGTTGTTGCATGATGCTGCGGCGCCTGGAACCAAGCAGGCAACCCCATGGAACCGGTGCTGGCTCCTCGGCCCTGCTGCACACCCGACTCTGGCCGTGCCTGTGGGAGACCCCCATGCCGCCTGCCACCGAGCAGCCTGCCACACCTGTTTGGGGGGCGCCCCCCCCCCCCCCCCAAAAAACCCCCCCCCCCCCCCGCCACGCTCGAGCCCTTCTCCCCATCCCGTAAAGCCCTCCCCGCCTCCCGCAAGGTCCCCTCCTCTCCCTCCCAAGTAGATATCCCC